AGTCTTCTGTAAAGAAACTTTTTATAAATAAACTTAGTCTATGGCAAGCAGACTTTTTCTATAGAATAGGAGTCATTTTAAAAGAATATTTCTATTAAATGCTTCCTTAAGTCTTATCTAAAGAGACTTTCTCTATTGAATATAGACTTTCTAAAATGTCTTCCTATAGGAAAAAACTCTTACCTAAAGATACTTTTTCTAAAGGAAAGGATTCTCTTGTAAAGAATAATAATGAGTCTATAGTATAAGAGTCTTTTCTAAAGAGACTTATCTATAGAAAAATTGTATTTTCTAGAGAGACTTTTTCTATACAAAAAGCGTCTTTTCTAAAGAGACCTTTTCTATAGAAAAAAAAAGCCTTTTCTAAAGAGACTTTTTCATAGAAAAAGTAACTTTTCTAAAGAGACTTTTAGAAAAGATACTTTTCCTATAGAAAAAGAGTCTTTTCTAAAGTAACTTTTTCTATAGAAACGGAGTCTTCTCTAAAGAGTCTTTTTCTATAGAAAAAGTCTTCCTATGGAAGACTCCTTTCTAAAAATAGTTTTCCTTAGAAAGAGTCTTTCCTAAAGAGACTTTTTCTGTGAAAACTAAAAACTAACTGCGTTTTCTATAGAAAAGTCGTCTTTTACAAAGAGTCTTATACATATCAGATATGAATTAAGGAAGCATTTTTAATAGAAGAAGGGTCCTTCTCAACTTTTCAATAGAGACTTCTTGATAATTTTTTGGAGAGGCCTTTTCTATGTATCTTTTAACAATACTTTTAAAAATACTGATAATTATCTATAAAGTATTCAGAATTTAAACTATTTATATCTTCACACAGTGTATGGTAATTTTTCATGCTGCTCAAATCTTCGGACCATATAAAAACTAACTTCATTTGCTTTCACATCCGCAAATCACTAAAATCTATTAAATATATCAATCAACTTACAGTTTCATGCAAATTACGCTTCAATTCTGGAAAATCATATGGATAGTAGGGATCACGGGCTTCAATACCTAAACCACCTTCCAATTTGGGATAGTCACCATAACCCAAACCATTATCGGCATAAGGTTTGTATTCTTCGGGCAGTAAATGGTATTTTTTGGCAGCAGCTAAATGCTCTTCCTCGGTTTTAGGAATACCAGCTGGTTTATAATCCTTATTCCAACCGGCCACTAAAAAAAGCAAAGTAAAAAACAACAATATTAACATTTGCAGTTACGTAAACTATACATTTACTTCAAATTTAGCAAACCATTCTAAATACTTACTGCTTCTGACAGCTTGACGCAGCAAAGCGGGATTGGTGGCACTTAATTTTTGTACCAATTTATAGGTATTCATTACGGATGCCATTTTGCAGACAATTTCCTTAGAGAATCTGCTCCAGTGGACAAATTTTCAATGAATTGTGGTGCTGCAGCAGCGTTTTGCCACTAATCAAGTGTCAAAGTAGAAATGTCAAAATTTTTTTGTTGTTTTGTTTTGCTATTCAATTTCGGTCAAGCTAATGTGGTGATTTTTTTATTTAAAGTAGCGTTTTTTTGTTTTTAGCGATTTCATATAGGAAATAAGTGATTTTTACATTTTTGCTACTAAAATATATTTAAAACTGACTTTAATAAGTATTATTGATCGTTTTATGAGATAAAAGCATTCTTTTTATTATATTAATCTAAATATATTATTTGTATGTATTAAACAATAAAAAATATAATAAATTGATTTAAGCAATTGTTTTACCAATCCAAAAGAAACAATATCTTAATTTTAAAAAAAAACTTTTTTAAAATTTTCCATCTAACTGCTACCATGTTTTCTGTTTAACCGTTAAATGGCAAATACATTCGAGTATGGACGCAATAAATAACTCTAAACATTTATAATGCACACCTTATTACATTTTATTCAAAATTTTCCAAAATGTGTTATCAGAAATCAGTTTTTGTTTTATTTTAGTTATTTAACGTTTTTATTTTAAATAATATGTAAGCATTATGGTTTATTTGGAAAACTACAGAGTTGAATTTGTGTTTATAACAGTTGGTATGTAGAAACTGTTCGATTACAAAGAGTTGCCAGATGGTGTGTAAACAATAAACAATGTCATTGACTCAACTCTAAACATTAGGTTAGCATATAGACCATACTATACATGAGAGTAGACTATGAAATAGATTATTAACTAGACTATAGAGTAGACTATAGACCAGACTATAGACTAGACTATAGACTAGACTATAGACTAGACTATAGACTAGACTAAAGACTAGACTATAGACAAGACTATAGACTAGACTATAGACTAGACTATAGGACTAGACTATAGACTAGACTATGGACTAGACTATAGACTAGACTATAGACTAGACTATAGACTAGACTATAGACTAGACTATAGACTAGACTATAGATTAGACTATAGACTAGACTATAGACTAGACTATAGACTAGACTATAGACTAGACTATAGACTAGACTATAGACTAGACTATAGACTAGACTATAGACTAGACTATAGACTAGACTAGATAGACTAGACTATAGACTAGACTATAGACTAGACTATAGACTAGACTATAGACTAGACTATAGACTAGACTATAGACTAGACTATAGACTAGACTATAGACTAGACTATAGACTAGACTATAGACTAGACTATAGACTAGACTATAGACTAGACTATAGACTAGACTAGACTATAGACTAGACTATAGACTAGACTATAGACTAGATTATAGACTAGACTATAGACTAGACTATAGACTAGATTATAGACTAGACTATAGACTAGACTATAGACTAGACTATAGACTATACTATAGACTAGACTATAGACTAGACTATAGACTAGACTATAGACTAGACTATAGACTAGACTATAGACTAGACTATAGACGAGAGATAGACGAGGACTAGAGACGAGAGAGACGACGAGACGGAGACTAGACGAGACGAGACGAGAGACGAGGACGAGAGACGAGACGAGAGACGAGACGAGAGACGAAACGAACGAACGAAACGAACGAACGACGAACGAAAGAACGAACGAACGAACGAAACGAACGAACGAACGAAACGAACGAACGAACGAACGAACGAACGAACGAACGAACGAACGAACGAACGAACGAACGAACGAACGAACGAAACGAACGAACGAACGAACGAACGAACGAACGAACGAACGAACGAACGAACGAAACGAACGAACGAACGAACGAACGAACGAAAGAACGAACGAACGAACGAACGAACGAACGAACGAACGAAACGAAACGAACGAACGAACGAACGAACGAACGAACGAACGAACGAACGAACGAACGAAACGAACAAACGAACGAACGAACGAACGAACGAACGAACGAACGAACGAACGAAGAACGAACGAACGAACGAACGAACGAACGAACGAACGAAACGAACGAACGAACGAACAAGAACGAACGAAACGAAAACGAAACGAAACGAACTAACGAACGAACGAACGAACGAACGAAACGAACGAACGAACGAACGAACGAACGAAAACGAACAGGAACGAACGAATCGAACGAACGAACGAAAGAAATAAATAACTAACTAACAACAACGAACTGAACTAACTAACGAACGAACTAACTAACGAACATAACTATACTAACGGAACTAACTAACGACGAAGAAACGAACTAACTAACAGAACTAACTAAGAACGAACGAAACTAACTAACGAACTAACTAAAGAACTAAACCTAACTAACTAACTAACTAACTAACTACTAACAACTACTCTAACTAACTAACTAACTAACTAGCTAACCTAACTAATATCTAACTAACTATATATGAATCCTGAAAAAAATGTTGAGAATAAAATACGATGTCAATTTTGCAATATAATATTTTGTAACATTTATTTTAAACGTTTTTATTTTAATACTTTTACACAAATTTGTAAATAAACTTTAATGCACATAAACCCCTGAAATAACATTTAAGATTATTAAAAATTACAATGGAAGTATAATAAAAATAAAAGCCCCAATAAATACAGATCAAAAGTAGTAACTTTTTTGTAATAAAACAATTTTTCATTTAAGTAACATTTGTAAAATTATAATGACTCTATTTTCCAATGATTTGGATCCATTAGATAATCTCTGAAATTAAAAATAAATTATGAAAGAATAAATATTGTATATAATTTTGGCTTCAATATAAAAATGAGTATTTACCTTTTCTTAAACATCAATTGCATAAAATCTTCTTTTAAATCTGTCAATTTACCCGCCTGACCACCATATTCCTCGGGCAAAAGTTCTTTAGGAACATGTTCGTACAAAGTTTCAATGCCCGTTGTATGAAAATGCATCTAGATATTGTAAATTGTTCATTGAAATTACTGCTTTAAAATAAAAATTCCACTTAAAACCCACCATATTAAATACGTCTTTATTGATAAATGGCTTTACCACACTAATCAAGCGATCCAAATACGAGGGACAATTAATCATATGCATGGCTTTGATACGCACGGGAAATGCTTGCTGTAGAAATTTCAAATATGTACGTAAAGTGCTTATCGATAGACGAGTAGCGTGCTTCATGCTATAACCAGTCATGTCGAAAATTTGTACTTCACCCTCTGAAAGCATTGTAGCATTACCATCTGTTAGATCTGGCATTGAAAAACGACAATCGGTGATCATTATGAAGGCCTTGGTATCTTCGGTATGATGCATCTAGTTTTTTAAATAAAATTTAAAAAATTATGAATATTTTTTTTAATATTAACAGTCTAATACCTTTCGTGGATCTGGATCACATAATCGGAAGCAGGTTATGCGATATTTTTCCGGTGTTAGACCTGGTAGTGGCACCATATCTCTAAAATTTTGTTATTAAAATTGTTATATAGATTTTCTTTTAAATGTTGGGATAAATATTTACGCATATTCAAATGTTCTTTGACTGTCTTCATCTGTGGGGTCCCGATTTATAAAGATATGTGGACATTTATTTCTTATCGCATAATTAACTTCAATTAATTTCTTGGTTTCTTCTACATCTTTATACATACATAAATAGAAACGTTCTAATAGGAGACGATCTGGAAAGAGTAAAAATTTCTGTTAATATAATTCACATTAAACCCCAATCTGGGTCCACACAAGCTTTCTCTTTATTGAGAAAACTAAAGTGATATTCGATTTCTTGTTTAGAATTTTTAATAGATGTTTCTTAGATCGATAGCAGAAAGTAGGGGGTAACAGTGGTATTCAATAACGTCAGAAACTTATTAAAAAATAATAGTTTCCTCTTTCTAACGATTTTGCTTATATAACATCCATAAAAAATACCTCAGATTCTTTTTATTTTTAATAAGCAAATTATAAAGCAAGTTATGGTTCAATTTTATTACACAACTGTTCATTTCCATTAAAAACCCATATTGATAAACGATTCTGAAAACGTTGCAAACATTTTGATATCTTTAGTTACAAATTAAGCTCTTATTTGCAATAAATTATTCCGTACAAGTTCGTTTTTGCTAACAAAATGCAATTAAAATATAATTATTAATATAATAAATTGCCATAGAAAATGTATAATTATAAAAAAAAAGAAATAAACAATTTGAAATTTGCATAAAAAAATCAAACGTTTCAATAAATAAATAAAAGTGAATTTTGCTCTTAAAGGTAACAATTTATTAATACCTATTACAGATATGACGTAAACTTTTGAAAAACTGAATTATATAGTTTACTTCTTTAAAACATTTTTATTTATAGTTATAGTCTAGTCTATAGTCTAGTCTATAGCCTAGTCTATAGTCTAGTATATAGTCTAGCTATAGTCTAGTCTATAGTCTAGTCTATAGTCTAGTCTATAGTCTAGTCTATAGTCTAGTCTATAGTCTAGTCTATAGTCTAGTCTATAGTCTCGTCTATAGTCTAGTCTATAGTCTAGTCTATAGTCTAGTCTATAGTCTAGTCTATAGTCTAGTCTATAGTCTAGTCTATTAGTCTAGTCTATAGTCTAGTCTATAGTCTAGTCTATAGTCTAGTCTATAGTCTAGTCTATAGTCTAGTCTATAGTCTAGTCTATAGTCTAGTCTATAGTCTAGTCTATAGTTCTAGTCTATAGTCTAGTCTATAGTCTAGTCTATAGTCTAGTCTATAGTCTAGTCTATAGTCTAGTCTATAGTCTAGTCTATAGTCTAGTCTATAGTCTAGTCTATAGTCTAGTCTATAGTCTAGTCTATAGTCTAGTCTATAGTCTAGTCTATAGTCTAGTCTATAGTCTAGTCTATAGTCTAGTCTACTAGTCTAGTCTATAGTCTAGTCTATAGTCTAGTCTATAGTCTAGTCTATAGTCTAGTCTATAGTCTAGTCTATAGTCTAGTCTATAGTCTAGTCTATAGTCTAGTCTATAGTCTAGTCTATAGTCTAGTCTATAGTCTAGTCTATAGTCTAGTCTATAGTCTAGTCTATAGTCTAGTCTATAGTCTAGTCTATAGTCTAGTCTATAGTCTAGTCTATAGTCTAGGTCTATGTAGTCTATAGTTAGTCTATAGTCTAGTCTATAGTCCTAGTCTATAGTCTAGTCTATAGTCTAGTATAGTCTAGTAGTCTCGTCTATAGTCTAGTCTCTATAGTCTAGTCTATAGTCTAGTCTATAGTCTAGTCTATAGTCTAGTCTATAGTCTAGTCTATAGTCTAGTCTATAGTCTAGTCTATAGTCTAGTCTATAGTCTAGTCTATAGTCTAGTCTATAGTCTAGTCTATAGTCTAGTCTATAGTCTAGTCTATAGTCTAGTCTATAGTCTAGTCTATAGTCTAGTCTATAGTCTAGTCTATAGTCTAGTCTATAGTCTAGTCTATAGTCTAGTCTATAGTCTAGTCTATAGTCTAGTCTATAGTCTAGTCTATAGTCTAGTCTATAGTCTAGTCTATAGTCTAGTCTATAGTCTAGTCTATAGTCTAGTCTATAGTCTAGTCTATAGTCTAGTCTATAGTCTAGTCTATAGTCTAGTCTATAGTCTAGTCTATAGTCTAGTCTATAGTCTAGTCTATAGTCTAGTCTATAGTCTAGTCTATAGTCTAGTCTATAGTCTAGTCTATAGTCTAGTCTATAGTCTAGTCTATAGTCTAGTCTATAGTCTAGTCTATAGTCTAGTCTATAGTCTAGTCTATAGTCTAGTCTATAGTCTAGTCTATAGTCTAGTCTATAGTCTAGTCTATAGTCTAGTCTATAGTCTAGTCTATAGTCTAGTCTATAGTCTAGTCTATAGTCTAGTCTATAGTCTAGTCTATAGTCTAGTCTATAGTCTAGTCTATAGTCTAGTCTATAGTCTAGTCTATAGTCTAGTCTATAGTCTAGTCTATAGTCTAGTCTATAGTCTAGTCTATAGTCTAGTCTATAGTCTAGTCTATAGTCTAGTCTATAGTCTAGTCTATAGTCTAGTCTATAGTCTAGTCTATAGTCTAGTCTATAGTCTAGTCTATAGTCTAGTCTATAGTCTAGTCTATAGTCTAGTCTATAGTCTAGTCTATAGTCTAGTCTATAGTCTAGTCTATAGTCTAGTCTATAGTCTAGTCTATAGTCTAGTCTATAGTCTAGTCTATAGTCTAGTCTATAGTCTAGTCTATAGTCTAGTCTATAGTCTAGTCTATAGTCTAGTCTATAGTCTAGTCTATAGTCTAGTCTATAGTCTAGTCTATAGTCTAGTCTATAGTCTAGTCTATAGTCTAGTCTATAGTCTAGTCTATAGTCTAGTCTATAGTCTAGTCTATAGTCTAGTCTATAGTCTAGTCTATAGTCTAGTCTATAGTCTAGTCTATAGTCTAGTCTATAGTCTAGTCTATAGTCTAGTCTATAGTCTAGTCTATAGTCTAGTCTATAGTCTAGTCTATAGTCTAGTCTATAGTCTAATCTATAGCCTAGTCTATAGTCTAGTCTATAGTCTAGTCTATAGTCTAGTCTATAGTCTAGTCTATAGTCTAGTCTATAGTCTAGTCTATAGTCTAGTCTATAGTCTAGTCTATAGCCTAGTCTATAGTCTAGTCTATAGTCTAGTCTATAGTCTAGTCTATAGTCTAGTCTATAGTCTAGTCTATAGTCTAGTCTATAGTCTAGTCTATAGTCTAGTCTAGTCTATAGTCTAGTCTATAGTCTAGTCTATAGTCTAGTCTATAGTCTAGTCTATAGTCTAGTCTATAGTCTAGTCTATAGTCTAGTCTATAGTCTAGTCTATAGTCTAGTCTATAGTCTAGTCTATAGTCTAGTCTATAGTCTAGTCTACAGTCTAGGCTAGTCTATAGTCTAGTCTATAGTCTAGTCTACAGTCTAGGTCTATAGTCTAGTCTATAGTCTGTCTATAGTCTAGTCTATAGTCTAGTCTATAGTCTAGTCTATAGTCTAGTCTATAGTCTAGTCTATAGTCTAGTCTATAGTCTAGTCTATAGTCTAGTCTATAGTCTAGTCTATAGTCTAGTCTATAGTCTAGTCTATAGTCTAGTCTATAGTCTAGTCTATAGTCTAGTCTATAGTCGAGTCTATAGTCTAGTCTATAGTCTAGTCTATAGTCTAGTCTATAGTCTAGTCTATAGTCTAGTCTAGTCTAAAGTCTAGTTTTTTTATTATTTAACTACAGAGATAAATAGTAACGATAAAATTTCAAAAATAGCGGCAAAGTTGCATGGTAATTTTATTTGTTTATAAAAATTTTTATTTTGTATGTTATTTTTAAAATATTATGTTAAATTTCACACAGTAAAATGTTAATGAACTACAATTGGCAAGTCATATTGTAGGAGGAAGAAAGATTCATACGATGAAAATAAACATACACAGCTGTTGTTTAATAAAAATAAAAACATTTATAAGAAACAAACAAAAACAGCATATCAACGAAAGACAATTTACGTATGTACATACATGGAATAAATATCTATAAATATTTTTATAAACAAACCACAAAGAAGATCAATTAACGCATTTTTTTTCTTTTATATGTAACACTGACAATTTAAAATGTCATGACATGACGATGTGTAAAAATTAAAACAAATTTTGTATGTATCTGCTGCACGTGCTGCTGCATGCTGGCATATTAGTTCAACTTACAGCAATATCGATTAAAAACGATTACTTTCAGTTTTTTGTTATTCTAATTTTGTTATTATTTCTAGGGTAATTAGCATCACTAAACTGGTTTTGGCGCTTAATTTATGGTAATTATTACCGTTAGATTTAAATGAAAATGGAAAACGTTATAAAAACAAAGCAAAACAAGTTTTGCAAATTTCACCATTATCAAAGCAACAACAAACAAACAAAATTTTTTAACTTCTTATCTCCTCTATTAATGGGTTAACTTACCAATTTGTTTGGGTAAATTTTTATTTTCCTCAAACCATTGCTGCAAATTATCAATATTTTTTTCATAATCTTCATCTTTATGGCTGGACATGTTGGCCATTGTTTGTTTTAAACTTTTGGGTTTTTTCCCAAGTATTTTAAGAATAAATTAAAAAAACACCAACAAACTTTTATTTGAAATTTCTTTAAAAAATAACACTTGTTTGCATAAATTTTTGTTTTGTTTGTGTTAAAACTTATTTATAATATTTTGTTATGTATATTAAATTGTTTTTATTGGATACACATAAAAAATATGTAAATAAATTGGAAATTTGCACTACATCCACTGCATAGAGTTCTACACCAATTGATTTCTGTTCTCCAACTGAAACTGTTGCGTTTCTTTGGCAATTTTCTACATACAACATATTTTGTCTGCTGTTTTTCTGTTGCCATTAATTTACTCGCTACTCACTTGGTTTTTTTTAATGCTTGACTAAACAAGCAACAACAAACAACTAGTGAGACAGTCAGTGAGTGAGTTTGAGAGTGGCCATTAAATGCTGCATTTGCTAAAAAATTAATATGCGTATCGGATAAGTGTTGCCAGCCATGCTATCGAATCGATTAATTAAACTTGAAAATAACATATCTAAATACAATCAGACCCATAGATATACATATCTGTATGTAAGTATATGTATGCATTTTGTTGTTATTTTCATTGTTTATGTTTTTGTTATCGATTGTATTTCTCTTCATTTGTTTTTATTTGCGCATGGCAGCTCTATTTTAGTGTTGAGTTAACATTGTTTATGTTATGTTAAAGTTTTGTTAACATAATATTAACTCTCACTCTTATTATAACATATGTTAATAACCAGACATGGAAGTAGTAGTAGTTCTTTTTGACAAAACGACCATGATTCCTTTTCCAAATAACTAACTTTTGCCTATAGCCATGTCTATATTATAGTCTATAGTCTACTCTATAGTCCAGTCTATAATCTAGGCTATATAGTCAATAGTCTAGTCTATAGTCTAGTCAATAGTTTATTCTATAATCTAGTTAATAGTCTTGTCTATAATCTAGTCTGTAGTGTAGCCAATAGTCTAGTATATAGTATAATCTATAGTCTAGTCTATTGTCTAGTATATAGTCTAGTCTATAACCTATAGTCTAGTCTATAGCCTAAAGTCTAGTCTAGTCTATGATCTAGTCTATAGTCTAGTCTGTATTCTGGTCTATAGTCAAGTCTATTATCTTGTCTATAGGCTTGTCTATAGTCTTGTCTATAGGCTTGTCTATAGTCTAGTCAATAGTCTAGTCTATAGTCTAGTCAATAGTCTAGACTATAGACTAGACTATAGACTAGACTATAGACTAGACTATAGTCTAGTCTATAGTCTATAGTCTAGTCTATAGTCTAGTCTATAGTCTAGTCTATAGTCTAGTCTATAGTCTAGTCTATAGTCTAGTCTATAGTCTAGTCTATAGTCTAGTCTATAGTCTAGTCTATAGTCTAGTCTATAGTCTAGTCTATAGTCTAGTCTATAGTCTAGTCTATAGTCTAGTCTATAGTCTAGTCTATAGTCTAGTCTATAGTCTAGTCTATAGTCTAGTCTATAGTCTAGTCTATAGTCTAGTCTATAGTCTAGTCTATAGTCTAGTCTATAGTCTAGTCTATAGTCTAGTCTATAGTCTAGTCTATAGTCTAGTCTATAGTCTAGTCTATAGTCTAGTCTATAGTCTAGTCTATAGTCTAGTCTATAGTCTAGTCTATAGTCTAGTCTATAGTCTAGTCTATAGTCTAGTCTATAGTCTAGTCTATAGTCTAGTCTATAGTCTAGTCTATAGTCTAGTCTATAGTCTAGTCTATAGTCCTAGTCTATAGTCTAGTCTATAGTCTAGGTCTATAGTCTAGTCTATAGTCTAGTCTATAGTCTAGTCTATAGTCTAGTCTATAGTCTAGTCTATAGTCTAGTCTATAGTCTAGTCTATAGTCTAGTCTATAGTCTAGTCTATAGTCTAGTCTATAGTCTAGTCTATAGTCTAGTCTATAGTCTAGTCTATAGTCTAGTCTATAGTCTAGTCTATAGTCTAGTCTATAGTCTAGTCTATAGTCTAGTCTATAGTCTAGTCTATAGTCTAGTCTATAGTCTAGTCTATAGTCTAGTCTATAGTCTAGCTATAGTCTATAGTCTAGTCTATAGTCTAGTCTATAGTATATTTTATATTCTAGTCTATAGTGTAGTCTATAGTCTAGTCTATAGTCTACAGTCAATTCTAAAGTCAATTCTATAGTCTATTCAACAGTTAATTCTATAGTTTGGTTTATAGTCTAGGCTATAGTCTAGCCCGTAGTCTAGTCTATGGTTTATTCCATAGTCTATTATATAATCTAGTCTATAGTCAAGTCTTTCGTCTAAATTATAGTCGATTTTTTTTAAAAGGTGCTTTATAAGATTTTCCATAACTCCAAGCCCGAATATTTAAAGTGCGATTAACTTTAACTTTTGTCTATATCAGTTTTGTTTCCCTCTATAAGAATGTTTGCAATTAGTAACAAATTGATAAGAGTTTAGCTAATCTCATTAATAAAGTTAGTAAAACTTTTATTTTGGTATTAACTGCCATTACTTAGGTAGCAATAATCAGACAGATAAATATGTATATGGGGTAGTAATATGATCAATAAATAAATATATAAATAAGTGATCGTAGTTAATAGATAAGAACTTAAGGCTTTGGTTAATACGCCTGCAATTAATAGTTGGAAACATTAACAACAAAGGTCGCCCCATGGCGCAACTAATAAGGCGAAGTCATTTCAACAGCTGATAGTTTTTTGTTCAAGAACATTTAGCCATAAGCTGTCAAACTCCATTTAAAAATAATTTTCTCTCATAAACAACCAATCAACCCAAAATCAATTCCATGAATTCAACGCAAAATGAAATGACTTCACCTTATAATATATTCGATATTGCTGGTAGTATTAACTGGGTGCTGAATACTGTCGCAGTTGCAAGGACAGGGAAAAGGAAGAAACGGTCTTCCATTTTCTCTATAAATGCCCCGCTCTAGCCACCAAGAGAAACTAATTTCATCTTCATATCATCCTTTAATGGGCTATCTGGAACTAAAGTTAGTGACCAACTGAGATTTCCCACATCTACAGACTGGGTCTAATGATTTACAATAATATACATATCTGGCGAGCGACTTTAGTGGTCCAAAATAGAGTACTCTACTTGACTACTAACAAATCCTACCTACAGTTTTATTAATCTAAGTGGCCGAATGATATTATATCTTGCATGTTTTAGAATGGACCGAATAGTTTAAAGAATTTTTATCTTTTTTTAGATATTAACGAAATTTTTAAAATATCACAACTTTTATTTATACAAAATCTATTACAAATACATATTTACTAAAAAATCCAAAAATTTACCACCATAACCAACCACTTTTAGTCTCACTTTTAGCAATAACCCAATGATTGGGATCAATAAGATAATCTCTGAAATATAAGACTAATATTAGATTAAATTTGATTTTTATTTATATAGCGATTACTAACCTTTTCTTAATTAATATATCCCACCATTTGGTCTTAATAACACTTAAAGACTCCGCCTGGCCACCAAATTCCAAGGGCAACATATTGCGGGGCACGTGTTCATAAAGACTTTCAATGCCCTCGGTGTGAAAATGAATCTGGAATAAAATTTATATTTTAGTACAAAATAATTCTGAAATTTATTTAATCACTAATTTAACCCACCATTTTAAATACTTCTTCGTGTATAAATGGTCTTGTTATTGCCACCATACGATTTAGAAATGGCGGACAATTTATAACATGTGTGGCCTTTAAACGTACCGGATAGGCATGCTGCAAGAAGTTCATATAGGTACGCATGGTCATCAATGACATGTTCGCCATATGACGTAAACTATAATTGCCTATATCTACTATATGAATTTCACCACTTGCCAATGAATCCATATCCTCGACTTCCGAATCGTTGGTAAAATCCTCTTCCACATCGGAATATGTGAAACGTGCATCGTTCATTAGAAAGAAAGCTTTACATTCTTCTATGCTATTTTGCTGGTAAAGAGTGAGTATTTAGTTTAATATAAAAACTTATTTCTAGAAGTTCAAGAACTACATACCGCTTTTATATCTTTCTCGATTAAACGAAAACATAAGATTTTATAATTTTCGGGTGTTACACCGGGTAGTGGCACCATGTCTCTGTTAATAGTTAAAAAATTGCTCGTTATTTGTAATACTTTGCTATCATTTGGGTAAGTTTTGATATATTGCGGACCCGTCATTGGGTGTTTTCGAAGTTCTTTTTGATCTTTCTACTTACACTGCCTGAAAAGAATTCTGTGTCAATTCATCACAGGGATCTCGATTAATGAACAAATGTGCACTTTTATTTCTCAATTGATAATTGAGTTCCAATAACTCTTTGGTATCTTCGATATCGCCATTCATGCATTTCAGAAAACGTCTTAAAAGAGTAGAGTCTAAAATGGAAATAAAATTATCAATTAAATTTATATTTTTTAAATCAGTTAAAATAATCAAAAAATCACATTGTGAATTATTGGATTTTGGACATTTATGTTAAATTGGGCAAAACTCTTTAAAATGTGGATATGTTTTTGATACTGAAATTATATCGGATAAGATGTCTTTCAGATTTTGTTTATAGATTGGATTCCCAGCAAAAATAAAACGAAGTACTTCCAAAACTGTGACTTAAGCTGTATATACATTTTTATATGTATACACGGTTGACAGATCTACAACTTTGGCTGAAAAACGTTCAGAAAATCTAACAATCGTGTTAGTTAGTGTTGAAGTTATGTTTTTAATAATTGTACTTGTTTAAACTTAACTTATATGTATCAAGTAATATTGTATTTTTGTGAACAAATATTTTTTACTTCAATAAAAAACTCTGCTTACAATAGGTTATGTGCCCAGAAGTCATAGAAATTTAAATTAAGAAATTTATTAATTAAAAAAAATTGAAAGAAATTTTTTTGAAAAATAATTTGTGTGTGAATAATTAGCTAGATTATTCAAGACCCAAGATTATTCAAGACTCAAGATTATTCAAGACTCAAGATTATTCAAGAATCAAGACAACTCAAGATACGAGATAACTCAAGATTCATGAAATGGAATTCTGCAAAAATATAAAACAATTATCTGGTGAGTCCGACTGGCCTATATGGAAAAGGAAGGTTAGAGACCTTTTCGAATTTTATGAAGGTGCGCTGGATGTAGTTGAGCATAAGCTAGTCAAGCCGCAGCCTCTTGAAAACCTGGCGACCGAATCACAACAAAGAGAACACAAAAAGCAATGTGAACTATTTAGAAAAGCCAATTGCTATGCAAAAAGCATCATCACGAGTACAATTAGTGATGAAATATATCAGAAAATAATGGACAAGGATTCTGCTTTTGAAATGTGGGAAGCTTTAAAACAGCAATACGAAGCAACTTC